ACTACGAAACAGACTTTAAAAGGAGTAAAAATTAAAAGCAAACACATAACACACAAAAAAAGTCAAATTCCCAAAATACTAAAATGTAGCTCATTTCGATAAGTATCATCTCATAAATTCATAATATAGGACTTGAAGAGTCCCGTAGACTAGACCATTATAGGTGGTTATAGCTTCTACAGCTCAATTTCAAAGATTCAAAAGATGAACAATAAATCTACAACAAAAATAATCTGGGCTTGTTGACCAGTGACAGTGATTAATTGAATTCTAAGAAAATTCACCGACTGAAAATGAAAAATGACAGAAATAACCCAGAAAGAGGAGGAATCATCTCATCTCATCTCGTACCTCTGCAAAACAAGCTGCGAAAGCGCTGCAAATGAAGGTTTCAAGGAACGAAATCTCGATCCTGGGTTTGACATCCGCCATTGTTATGCTATAGATGGGAACAAGATAAGCGAAATCTGGGGAAGCACCGATTGGGCAAAAAGAAAATGTTAGAACTTGCACTTATTCTTCTCTGACAAACGATGATTGATAGATAGATAGTATAATCTATAAATGGGTTTCTCAATGATTGAGTTTGTAGAGTAGTAATGAAGAAAAGTGAGCGAGATCGAGATTTAAAAGCGACTCTCTAATGGCGTAACGAATTCAGAAAAATAGTACAGACTACAGAGTCTCAATCAATCTTTGGTGTTACTTTTTTTTTCTAACTAAACAAACAGAGTCACTAGAGACCCTCTTCCTCGTATGGAAGGTTTACGTATATAACTGTCTTATGTATGTTTAGTTGGAGACCCTCTTCATTGAGTGGAAGGTTAGGTCTAAAAGTGTTTATGTTTAGTTGGAGACCCTCTTCATCCAATGGAAGGTTAGGTATAAATCAGTGTACGTTTAAAACAAAGGCACTGGATCGGAGATGGTGAATGGATTTTAAGGCACAATCCATAGTTACTGCGGGAGTTCTGTGTGCTGAGTTTGAATTTTCTTAATGACCACTAAACCGGAAGCAAAAGTCGTCACAATCATAAACTGTGGAAGAGAAGATAAGCCCATCTTGTTGTAGTATTCTTTCTATACAAGATTAAAAACCTATCAATTCAACTTGTTTACTGTTTAGGTACAGACGGGTTTTTCTATTCTTTTCTATGGAAGTTGCTACGTATAGGACTTGTTCGTATTGTTTCATTTCAATATACAACAAAAGCACTAGATGAACCAGAGAAATGGTGAATGGAACTCAAAGGGGTTTTAGCTGCACCAAAGTGAGTGATTCTGTAAACGCCAGGTGACGCTGTTTCAGGGATTCTCCATTCGATGCTCGTTGTGCTCTGCGCGCTGAGTTTGAACGGTCTTGACCACTTATACCGGAGGCAAAAGTCGTCATCATCATATACAGATACCCATTTCTCTTTTCCTTCCAGCAACCTCTCAACAAGCGCGAATGTCCCTTCTGTCATCAGATCATTTCTCGGGTTAGCTGACCGGAACTGAACCGTCACTATGTCAGTTCCCTTCCTGAATTTGGCAACGGGAGGAACATCCGATACAAGATCTCCAAATGCAGTTCCAATTGGAGTCATATCCGCAACCACGGGTGTTAGTAAGCTTATTTGTTTGTGAAGTAGGTCAGGTGGCTGAGGACCCGGGTCAGTGGCTTGACCAGATAGAAGATCATTTGCTAGTTTCTTGAATTCTTGAATGTATCCGCTTAATGTGTGAGGTCCATACAAGGTCGATGCACCCTGATGGAAAAATTTAGAGATGGTTTAAGAGCAGGAAATCAAGAAAGGTCAAAGCTCTTCCTTATTATCTCATCATCTAACCTCATATCTCTGCACTTGGTATTCCTCAAATGTGGCGATATACTGCGAGTACGAATTCGTTAGCCCAGCTATGACCACGCTGAATTCTTCTCCATTGCTGCCTTCCTTAAGCACTGTTTTCACGGCATCGCGTAGTCGCCTCCCTGCCATTGTTGTGAATTCTTGCAAGCAGAAGCAAAGAGAAAAGAAATTACTAATGTTCTACATCAGTCCTGAAATGAATTTTTTCTTTTCTTTTCTGGGGGAGTCTGGAATACCTCCGGGTACGCAGAGAATCACTAGCTGGCCAATACGGAGGATCTGAACTGGTAATATCGATGGCTGAAAATGGTACAGTTTTTCCATCACAAAAGAGGTAAGTGGGAATCAATTTTTATCCATCGCAGTATCCGCATAATGATGCATGATAAACAGATTATGCTCACCGCCCAGTCGTATGGTTGTTTCATTTCACCGGTATCAAGCAATATGGGTTTAGGTCGCTGGCACTGGACCTGTTCCTTAGTTGGATTTTTTAAAAGGTTCCTTACAAGCCTCCAGAAAGGATTTCCCTAACACAAAATCACAACATTAAGTATAGTACTACTTACTAAACATCTTATTAGCAAGTTAAAAGGGAATTTGGGGTTTACCTGATCATCTCCTTGTTTAAAGTCAAATGCTCCAGGTCCATCAGTTGTTCCTGCAGCGAAACCAAAACCCATTGCAGCTGGACATGTTTTCACCACTTCAAAACCTCCATTTTGTCCATCAATCGTCACTTCAAGCTGAGAGAAATCAACAAAAGCATGACGATGGTCAACTTTTCCTTGTATCTCCTCAGAGGCTTTAGTGAAAAGATCTGCAGCCTTCTTGAACTGCCTCTCTCCAATAATGCGCGTACTCTCAAATTCATCAGGGTAGCTGAAACATTCAGTCATGCTAAGTTATATATCTGTTAAATTTGGCTCTAAATACCATACTGAATTGAGAGAGAACAGAATTTTCTGTGATTGGTTTCCGCATTTCTGAAGGAAAAGTGTGCAATTAGGAATAAGACGTACCCTGGTCCACGGCCGTAGCACTGTTCGTTCTTTCCACCACAAGTACTGTGGTTGAAGTCACAAGGCAGGCCTGTGTCTAAACAGAAGGCTCCCAACACATTCGGACTAACATCACCGCAGTTAGTTTGACAGAAGGCAGAGACAAAGCTAGGTTTGTCGGCGTGTCTGAATCCACTTCTGACCCGTCTTGCAACGCTTGACATCCTTGTAACAGTTTTACCGCCTGTAGACAGTAAAGAGGACGCCATGTCCAGCACATCTTGATCTGCAATGAAAGCAACAAAAGGTTAGTAACACGCCATTACTAAACTATGGGAGCTATAGCTACTTATGCTTACCATGAGGATCTGTGATTATGGTCGAGACTCTTCTATGAGATTCAACATCATATGAAAAGCGACCGTCTTTTTGTTCAAACCAGTCTTCCATGATACGTGCTGCAGTTCCTTTGTTGTCCCCGCTGATCAAGGAATTTGTGCGGCTCATTGAAGTGCCATGAGTTGCAAACCAATTGAAACTACCCACTGGACCCCACTGATCATCAACGAACTTGACAAGTGTCATCTCTTTATCGACATTATATTCATATTTACTATGTTCATGAGCTGGATTGTTAAGGTATGCGCTGGGACTACGGTTCACACCAGCATCCATGAGCTCCCCTGCAAGTACAGCTCCAAAAGAAATGTCTTTAGAGAAAGCAACATGTAAATGAATGAAGAAAAAAGTTTGCCACAAGCTGAATCTCTCACCTTTGTTGATTAAAATGGACCCGGGGCGGAGATTTTCATGAGCTTGTATGATACTTTGCTCTATACCGTCCACAAGAGCATTGAACGATTGATGAACAAACCCGAGCGAAGTAACTAAGTACAGAATGTATTGGAGATAACCCCCTGGGCCGGCATGAGTATGAGTTCCACTAATTGCAACATTTTCCTCCGTATAAAGCTCACCATACCTCCAAGGATATTAAGATAGAACTTTTGACATTGGTTTTAATAAACTGAAACATGGAAAAAGAGAATATAACAAAATTCCAAGACAGACCTACTTACCTCTGTTTTAATCTTTCAATCACCTTGATAGTCACAAGCTGTGAGGCCATACCAGCATCAAGATTAACAAAAGCAATCCTTTTCCTGAACGGCTCAGCCACGATGAAAGCGCGAGCTCTGAGCCTGAAGTGAACACCGGATGTTACTTGTTCCATATTAGCATATCCCATCATGTTGACATCAGCTGCAGGTCCCGTGATGTCATAGCTTCCAAGACCGATCAAATAATTGGAATCCGTGAATACACATTTGATCTTCAGTAGACATAGCAAGAACAACGTGCACTGCACAGTAGACACAGATCGCCTCCTCATCTTCACACTCGATGTGGATTAAATCAGTTCTTCCTCATTTTTGGTCCTTCCTAGAGAAGCATGCCAATGTAAGCAACACAAACACACACACACGCATCTTTCGTGAATCTCAACTATATAACCAAAGAAATCAAATCACCCAACCTGAAGAAGAATAACAAGTAACGCAAGCCTAATATGGAAAAAGTAACACATCATTCACAAAGAAAGCTCGCTGCTTTAACCAAAATTTCACTTAAAACATAACATGATCGCTAGAAATAGGAAGATTGAAGAGTTACCGATTCGTAAACTTTTCATAAAAACAAACAGATGTACACTTTAAGCTGATGAACACACTAACCGCAATTATAGAGAACACACTAGCCCATTTGCAGGGACTAAGAGAAATTAATTCATGCGAATGCTATGAAGCAAAAGAAGAAAAAAAGATGGCAGGATTTGAATACTCAATAAAGTTTCGTTTTTTTTTTCAGGAGAAGAAGGGGAACAACGATCAGAGTCTGTGAGTAAGAGTAAAGTGTGAGGAAAATTCTTACTTTTTAAGGTTGCGGAGAAGGAAAGCTTCCCAATTCTCAATTTGGTTTTGACTTCTCATTCGGCTACTTCTAATTTTGTAAGTTTTGATCTTCTGGGAACTTTATGTCAAAATTCAGAAGTAATGGGGTAAAATTATAATTTATTAAATAATATTTGGGTCTGTTTGTGAATAAACCAAAACTTGTGGGTTCTCTCTTCTTCCCTTCAACCTCAGTCGCCGATCTTCAACAGTGGCTGAAACAAGAGAGGGACAGAGAGAGAGAGAGATACAATGGCGATGAGCCTTATGAACAGAGCAATCTCAAGAACCGAAACGGTCGGTGCTTTCAGGGTGTCGATTAATCTCCTAAGGAATTTCTCTGCGGCGCCGGCGGCATCTCCTCCGTCGAGTGAAAACCCTAGCTCCGATTCGAATAAACCTAAAAGAAGAAAGAAGAAGAACTTAATCGAAGTCGCTCAGTTCTTACCTAATTGGGGAATCGGATACCATATGGCTAAAGCTCACTGGAACGGAATCTCTTATGAAATCACAAAGATCAATCTCTACAAGGTTCTTCTTCTTCGTCTGTTCTCCTATTGTTTGTGTTATCTCTTTCGTCTTTGATTGAAATTTCTACATTTTTCGTATGCTGAGAAGATCATATTTGGGTTTTTTATATCTGATTTGGGTTTATGTTATGCAGGATGGTAGGCATGGAAAAGCTTGGGGAATTGTTCACAAAGATGGTGAGTTTTTTTTGTTCCTCATTTGTTCCTATGTCCATTGATCTCTAAGGTAATGGAGTATAAGGGGTGGAATTGTTAGGAGTAGCCATATATCTGAAAACTCTGATAGTCGCATATGCATTGGTGTTGAGATTTTCTCAGTTATGCGGTTGCATTTAGGTCAGTCACTTTAACTATTCTCAAATGCAGGATTGAGAGCTGCGGAAGCTCCAAAGAAGATAAGCGGAGTTCACAAACGCTGTTGGAAGTATATCCCAAATCTGTCGAAGGCTGCTCCTGCAACAAACGCTGCTGATGTCCAGGCTACCTGATCTGTTTACTTCCATTGTTGTGGCTACTTCTTGATATATCTGTTTGCGGATTCGTCTTATTCGAAGATACAGTTGTTGTTTCTCTGAAACGTCAATAGCTTTGTAGGAAATGTTCCATCTTGGTTTTGATTTTGATGCGTCTGAGAATCACTGGGGATAAGGGTTTAGCTACTTTTGAGTATTTAGCATGGATTCGTTTTGTGGAAGCCTTCTGGGTTTTAAACATTTAATAAAAGGACCTCAAAATTACTAATGGCAGATTTGGTTTGTATCGCCTACATTTTTGGTTTGGCTTACTACTCTTACTAAATATGAATTAGAACCAGACTTTGTGAAGTTCAAACTTCAAAGCAATCCTTAATTTCCAATATTTGAGAACTGCCATGTCGCTTGATTCATCTCAACACACATCTTTTAGAAATTGATCTCCAAAGAATAATGTCATAGTTTTGGGATTATCTTGAGTTTTTGGATATTCCACTTGTCAAAGTCCTTCTTCCTTGCTTCCAAGAATATGGAGAACCGTTTCTGAAATGTCTTTTCTTACAGAACTGGGTTAAGTAGACTCGCTCTATTTTGAATTATTTTGACTAATCTCCTCCATTGAACCAATTGGCTAGAAGGGCCTCTATTGAACCAATTCAAGTCCATGAAACCCATCCATCTATAACTTTTCATTCGGGCCTTAAAATCCATGCTACCCAAAGCCATTTTCCATTTTAAAATGGCTGTACAGTATTCTTCTCTATTTTTCTCTCGGACAAAAACTATTAAAGAAACGATGAGTTTCCTTCCAGCCAACATAGTTACATCCTGACACAGCCACTGACATTGACAGTGATTTCTATGTTTAGTTTTTTTTTTTTTTTTTTTATCATTGCCCTTAAACTTTGTAACATTTTCAATTTGTATCGCATGTTTATATGCTTTTCAACGAAACCCTCCTACACTCTATTTGCATCCTTTTATTGCCATATATGTTCACAATTCTCACCTACCCACTTCCATCAAAATCAGTTTAAGCTTGAATTTAATATGATATCATTTTTTTGGTATCCAAATTCATTGAAGCAATGTAGAATGAAACTTTAAACTGAAAAGCAATCTAATTTATAAGAGCAAAGTACTTTGTTTGTCAAGATAAGAGTAAAGTACTAAAAATAAATTAATTGTTGGAAAAATAAAAACAAGCTAACTTGTTGAAGAAATCAAGGAAAGTACTAACATATACTAATCAAAACACCTTTTTAATGTTCTATTAATGTTTTTTTTTTTGAAGTTAAAAAATAAGTAACAGTTCATCTTAAAACTTAAAAACTCACAATCCTAAAGCTATAAAACATCAAACAAGTTTTAATAGTAACTTATCATAGATTCAATAAGAAATATACTTGTGATTAATACTATTAGAAAAAATCCACTTTTTACACAGGGAAAAGAAGAAGAAAGAAGTACAATCCATTTATCCATATATATAAATAGAGAGAAATGAAAAGAAGAAAATTAAGTGGGAGATTTCATATGGAGAATCATGAGTTTTAAGAATCCGTACCACGGGATCTAACAATGTTAAAGAAAGCAAAACCAAACCTTGTTTTTCAAATATCTTCCAAACTTGAGGGAGACAAAAACAAAACAACAACAACAACATGTAATTTTTCTTTTTTCTTTTCTTTTCTTTTTAATTAAACAACAAAAATAATAATTCATTATTACAACACTCCCATTAAAAAAAAAAAGAACAGAACAGAAGCTGCTCTTTTGTCCAAAGCTTCCTCTCTTCCTTTCTCTTTCTCCAACATTTCTTCTCTCTCTCTCTCTCTCTCTCTCTCTCTCTCTCTCTCTCTCTCTCTCTCTCTCTCTGCAACCTAAAACTTAAAAAACAAAATTATCATTTTTTTTTTGCAATAAACCCTTCAAGACAAAATTAGCTTTTTGTTTTTCTTTTTATATTTTTTGTTTTCTCCTCGTAAAACCCATGAGCTAAGTGACCCCTTTGGTTCCTCTTTGCTTTAATCCTCCAAGCCAAAAAAAAAAAAGAAAAAAGAAGAGAATGCCTTCTTTTGCTTTTGGATCTCATCACCATTTGGCCAATCCTAGAGACTCCCCATACTCCGTCGAAATTAGCGCCGGCGGTGACTCCTCCTCCGACTTGGATTCTTTGTCTGAGGTCGATTTAGAGAGCGGCTGTGTTCCTGCTCCGGAGAAAAAGCTGCATTCCGGTGGTAATAAGAGGAGGACAAGGAGGAGAAAGAGGAGGAGGAAGAAGAAGAAGAAGAAGAAGAAGAAGAAGAAAGGTGGTAGAGATTGCAGGATCTGTCATCTTCCTTTAGAGACTAACAAAGATGCTGAAGATAATGAAGATGAAGACGATGAAGATGATGATGATGATGATTCTGATTCTGATGAAGATGAAGAAAATGAAGACGAAGAAGAAGAGTATTATGGTTTGCCTTTGCAATTAGGTTGCTCTTGTAAAGGTGATTTGGGTGTAGCTCATAGCAAGTGTGCTGAGACTTGGTTCAAGATCAAAGGAAACATGTAAGTTTCTTTCTTTTCTCTCTTCTAAGACTTTTTCTCATTTTTTTCTTACTCTTTTCTGCAAAATTCTACAGATTCTGTGAAATAGAAACAGAATTTAGTAAAGGATGGAACTTTATGAGGAAACAAAAGTATTTGCTTTTATGTACTTTGGAGAATTTTTCTTTTTTTTCCTTGTCTGATTTCTAGAGATCCATATGATTACTTCTTATAAAGATTGTCTCTACTGAAGCTGGAATCTACAGTTTTTTGGCCACCAATTATTCAACTTGTGTCTCATGTGTTGTCAACTTGTGTCTTTATGTTCTTATTCAGTCTGGTTCCTGTAATTTGCTTCCAAAGATAAATGAACGCTTGGTTTTGCAACTGCATTGAGAATCTTGCAGTCTCTTTTGCTGTGACATTGTGATTGGTAGATTCTTACCAATCACAATTAAAACCATATCTCTGTTTAGATTCTGTTTTATATTGTCTTAGGCAGTGAGTTAGATCTATATCTTTTGTGTTTAGAAGCTGAAGCGAAGTGCTATACTGATAAGGCATTTGTCATATTGTTCTATGAATCTGAGCAGGACATGTGAGATATGTGGCGCAATGGCTGTAAACGTGGCTGGCGAACAGTCAAACCCAGAGAGTATTGCCTCTATGCATTCACAAGCAGCTGCAGGACAACCTCAGACTCAGACAGAGCCACGGGGAATCTGGCATGGTCGTCCTTTTATGAACTTCTTACTTGCAGCGATGGTCTTCGCCTTCATTGTTTCTTGGTTGTTTCATTTCAAAGTCCTTAAGTGAAACGATTTCCCATCTCACTTTTTCGCCCACCTGCACGCGCTCACTCTTCTCCTGTTCTTGAGCTGCTTGCAGTTGCTGGATCCAATCCCTCCTGTTGCTTGATTGTTCACACGTTTTGTAGCTGTAATACCTTGGTAGTGTTTAGATTGTTGTGACTCGTGAGATTTACATCTTGTATCATATTGTTCTACTCCGGCTTGGTGAAACATCTTTGTAATTAAGAGGGGCTTAGCTCTTTTGATTTCAGGCACAAACACCTTTGCCTTTGAAGAATGGTAAAAGATAAATACTGGACATTAGTTGGGTTTAATCGCCACTCTTTAGCTATATTCAAAGAAGAAATCACATTTAAGGATCTTGGACTTTTAAATGAGAAAGATCCCTTTTTCTTGATTCAAGATTCATTTGAATCATATCTTCAAATTGGAAACCACAAATTCAAGATAATGATTCAAGAAAAGAAAAAAAAAAAAGAAAGAAAGAAAAAAAGACAATGAGGCTCTCAGAATCCAATCAGAAAATGGAGAAGACGAAAGAGAGAAGAAACCTATACACTTGAAGTTTTCAGTTTCTATTGTTCTGTTTCTTGGCTTCCAAGGACGTTCCATCTTTTAGGGTTTCACAAGCGTCTTTATCCATTCCAAGGCTGAAGAGTGCAGCCGCCTGAAGATAGAAAGCCGTTGGCCACTCGGGAGACACTACTTGCGCTTGCATTGCATCACCAAGAGCCTCTTGAGGCATGTTGCTCATCAGATAACACAAACACCTCCTTGCAAAAACTGTTGGCGATACCATTGTGCCATCATCGATGAACTGCAGATATAATCAGAGAACACGGAAACACAGATTGAGTGGAGTTTTCTTGTTTCAAGAAAGTAACCGACTTTATGTTCCATACCTGCGTATAACATTCGACAGCGGTGACGAAGTCTTTGCCTTTGAATGCAGCATCTCCTTGTTTCTTGGCGTTTAGAGTCTCCTGAATCTGGTCGGTCCACACTTGGAATGAGAGCTGTATTAGAAGTGAAACAACGATCATCTAGTTAAGTTTATCAGACAATATAGACGATGATCTCAATGGAAACTACAGAAAATGAAGATGAAGAGCTGTATTGTTTTCTGTAACAAAGCTCCACACTTTCAGGTCATTGACCTCGTAGAAGATGAAGATGCATCATGTTCAAATACATACCTCATTTGCTACCCCCTCGTCGTCTTTGTATCCGATCTTTTCAAGAATTTCATGTATCGCAGTGAGATCAAGTCTTGAACAAGCGTCGCCAAGAGGGGTCAGTGATGTTGTTTCCTTTGGAGAAGCAGCTCCATGTGGAATCCCCATTAACACATAAGACGGAACCTGAAGATAACAACAGAGATACCAGATAAGCAAAAGAGTGACAAGACTTGAATGGTTGACACATAATAGGAAGGTGATTTAGTGACCGCATACATCAGTTTCCTTCTGAAGAGGAGCGAGTGAAGACACAAGAGATTTCACATTTGGCCTTTCACGAGCTTCATACTGCAAACAACGGGAAGCTAAGCGAACCAAATCGGTTCCATCATCGTTTGAGAAATGACCATCAAGACACGAGTCCATCAGCATCAGGAAGTTCTTCCCACGAATTAGATCAAGCGCCTGCAGAACAATGGCAGAGCATATGAATGGTGCAGTTACATGTTTTGGGTTCAAGGATATGAAGCTGATAGATCTAGAACTTCTCCCGAAGAGAAGTTGATCAATGTTTGGTGATTGGTGAACTAACATGGCTTGGTGGTATGTGTTTGCCACTGAGAAGATCTAGCAACAGCGTTCCAAAGCTGTAGACCACGCTCTCCGGAATCACTCTCCCTAAGAGATTAATAAACACACAGCATATCAGTGTGATAACTTGTTTAAACATGATACGCAAACTTGACGCCATTGCATCTCATATCAGTCACTGACCTGTTCTTAGGTATTCAGGAGGTGTGAAAGCCAAATTTGTACTGTAACTCTTCCCATCCCTACTATTCTTCATAAGACCGAAGCAAGATAATCTCGGGTTACCATCCTGTGATTAAGATTATAGAAACATTATCAGAATCCCTAAACATCAACTTACATGAATCACAACAAGCAAGAGATATTAGAGATGATAGTAAGCTCGACATGGACCTGGTCAAACAAGATCCTGTAAGCATTAAGATCATGGTACAACGCTCGACCTTTGGTGCTGCAATACTCAAGTGCTTGTGCAAGATACAGAGCCACTCTCACCCTCATAGACCACTTCATTGGCTGGCTATCCCCTACATATCGTTTATCACACATTAGTAAGTTCCACCCACCACTCTTTTGCGAACAGTTATCTCTTATAGCCAAATATGGAAATCTCACACCAGTGCTAACGAAAACAATGATTCTTTCATCATAAATGAAATATAAACATTCAAGTCTTAGTCTTTTGTTCAGCAAAATAGAACCAAAAACAGAAATCTCCAACTAAATCGCACAAACACTGTTAGAAGTTAAAACTAAATGGCATAGAGACCAGAGAAAAGAGAATCTTCAAAGTAAACAGTCGCTAATCTCTTAAAAGAAGATGAAAAGCCAGCCTTACAGTGGAAGAGATGCTTAGAGAGAGTTTCAAAAGGCATAAACTCAGCAACTAACAATCTCTCATCTCCTTCACAACAGAATCCAATCAAGTTCGCCAACCTCTCACTCCTCAACTGCCCCACAGCTTTGGCTTCCTCCTAAAGATCAATCAAATGAAACAGTAAACAACAACAGTATCCCCACCAAATGATAAACACATCAAGGGGAATGAGCAAAGGAATCAAAATTTTAAGAGAGCTCGTACAAGAAATTGACGAGTATCAGGCCAAGCGGATCTATTGAAGCGTTTGACAGCGATCCATCGGTCATCTTCAAGTCTGCCTTTATACACAACATTGGGAGCCTTAACCCCGTGTTCAGAGACGATGCTGTCCGTTGAGAATCCACTAGTAGCAGCTCGTAGTTGGTCGAAACTGAACTCCGTGAACGACGGCAAATCGTCCGTACCGTTCTCTGTCGGAACCAAAAACAAAAAACTCAAACTTGGTTTAGCAGAGAGAGAGAGAGAGAAAATGAAAGAAAGGAAGAGACTTTAAAGAAAGAAACCTAGATCAGAAGCTTCGTGGTGAGTTGGTTTGAGATGGGACGGCCACCAACAGAGAGATAGCTTAGAGCAACGAGGTCCCATTTTTGGCTTTTCGAAAGCTTATTCGATCAATCTAATAACAGATTTCTTCCCTGAAAACCCGAAAAGCAAAAACCCTTTTTTTTGTTTTGGTGAGTCTCTCAGTCCCTTTCTGAGAGTTTAGAAGAGAAGTCGAGTGAGAGAGAGAGAGGAGCAAAAAAGGTTTATTTTTTTCCGGGTATAGAAAGGAATCTGCGAGAAAATTAAAAAAGAGTGAGAAAATTTATATAGCGGACGAAGTGGAGAAGACAGTGAGTGGTGTGAGATTGATTAATTAAAAGATAAAACCAGAAATTGAGAATATTAATTAGCACCTTTCATTAGACTTTGAACAATCAATTGTTTTTTTTTTACTTGGATCCAATGTCTCTCTCTCTCTCTTTACTTTGTATTTTTCTTTAAAAAGACAAAACCAAATTAGAAAAAAATAGAAAACACAGATTAATTGAGAAACCGACGTTTTCTTCCTTTTTTTTGTGTGTTAAATTTTGGTCGTCAAAGCAGAAGACGACGACGACCTTAAGTAACTCTGAAACGTCTGGTTTAGACTTTAGACAAGGCTGCACATTAGTAAGTAAACTCAAGGCGAAGTTTTACTAACTAAATCAAGGGACAAAATCGTAAAGTGGAATGGTCAAAGAAAAGGGTCAAAGCCATGTGGTGCATGCGTGTGGGTGTGAGAGTATGAATGAACTAAACTATTAAAGTGGCAGTGGTACTACTACTAGTTTTATACCTCTATAAAAAGTTGCATTTAATTTAAGTGAGTTATGAACTTTATGATATCTCATAGTATTATACTTATTGCATAACAATAAATATCTAATCGAGTCAGTTGTGATTTACTCATTGGAGCAGCCTAAACTACATATTTAGTTAATTCTATGTAATGTAATTGCTCCACTCCCTCCAAAACATATGATGCTTTTCTTTAACTCCTAATTATGTGTGTTGTTACATATTATACCAAAAGTTCTTAAAATGCGGGTTCTGATCGACGAAGTATATTATATTGAATTGATAAAACAATGTTACAGTTTCACTTTTGTATTTCATTTAGTTATATTAGCATAAAAGCGTTTTGAACCCAATAAGCGAAAAACTTTCCAGCTAAAATGACGCAGACCGGTGTGACCCAACAGAACGAAAGAGGTCCACGAAGCAATTTTATATGCAAATTAAGTCAAAAGCTTTTTGTAGTTGTGACATGTTGTATCGTATTGTATGCTACTATCATATTCATATTATCATATATGTATGTATCAATATCATGTGTTACACTGCAAAGCTGTTTTTTCTTATAAAAAAATGTAATCGTTGTGAAGCTTTCCCCCTAGTACTCATGATATGTGTTTACGTATTCGAAACCAACTTTTTGCTTGTTTTAAAACAATTATAAGTAGTATTTTTATAAGAAAAGTTAATGTTGGTTGGTGGAGACAAAGAGGATCTTGGGTGATAAATATGGTAAAAGAAAAGTAGTAGACTAGTAGTAATGTAATGGAAGAAGAAGAAGGAGAAGAAGATGACTTCACGCGTGTGCCAAGGAGATGTTTGTTGTCTTTTGGGGGACACATTTTAAGCCTAATTTAAGATGCTCTTAAAGTGACCAAGCCTGGACCACTTTTAGGTTTGTATTTTTTTTTTTTTTTTGTCAATCAACCCCAACTATAAAGTTATCGGGAATGACTCTCTTCGAGAGAGAGCCATAAAGGGACCGACGAGCTTATATGGGAAAAACAAAAACCACGTGCCCTTGCACATTTCGCAAGTTTATCGGCACGGACATTATCCCCTCTAGGGATATGAAAAATACTGAAACTAACAAATCTATCTTTAAGACTCTTGAAATTACACAACTCGGAGGAGAAGGCGGGCCAATCCTCGTTATGTGCGATCATTGCGAGGAGATCCAAGCAATCCGTTGCAAAATGAACGTTAGTCAAGCCAAGTGACACCAAACTGCCCATAGCCCAAATAAGGGTGTCTAACTCGGCATGTAGAGGAGAGAGGCTTCGTCGAGATCCTTTCAGGCCAAGCCACAGGGTTCGTCCTCCAAACGAGACAATCCACCCATGTCCAC